GGGAGCAGGAAGAGGACGAGGAAGAAGAGATAGACAAGGAAAAGAGATAGAGGAATAGAGAAAGGAAGGAATACAGAGAAAATAGAGAGGACGAGGAGGGGGCGGGGAGGGGAGGAGAAAGAGTAGGAGGAAGGGAGGAGAAAGAGGAGGAGGAGGAGTGGCGGGTCGCAGAAAAGAGGCCTCGAAAGCCAACAAAGAAGAACAGAAACAGCAGGTCTCTGGGGACAATTTCTACACTTGATATCAACAACAAATGGCCGTTTTGAAGGACAAGCGGGCTAACCCAGATTTCAGGGGTTCCCAGAAATCTTGACCTACACCAAAAGTAGGCATTGCCCTACCTATAGGAGAATTTTGGTTTCATTGGTGAGTATATTTGTTTGGCTTTAGAGAAAACTCTCCTTGTCTTTTAAAGAAACTGAACAGGGGGCAAAATCTTTACCAGCGATTTCTTCAAAAACAGCATTTTTCGGGATAGCCCCCTTGCGTTTAAAAGCAACCAAATGTAATACATTAGTTGTCAAAGAGAGTGTTACATTTATTAACGCTTCCTGGCAGGAAAATCCTCCGCTGCCATGGCTGGACATAGCCGGCAGAGGGAAAAATAAAAACTTGGATTTTTTTTTAAGATAAAAATTAAGAATTTTAATATGTAAAAAAACAACTATCCAACACGACTTGCCACAATGACAGAACGTGGAGAGTTTCTAAGATTAACATTAACAGCAAAGCAGACCCTGCAGATGCCGAGACTTGTTATGGTTTTTAATCCATGTCTTATGCCAAGGAAAAAGTCGTTTGGAAACTCTTTCGCGTCCTTTTTCTGATAATACTCTTTCTAAGAGTACATGTGCTGCGATCATTCACTCGTCCTCCCTAGACGTCGGGGAACACGGAAGGTTTCCAAATTTTCCCCTTTCTGTCGTCTTGTCGAGCAGTCTTCCAGCCGACAAAGCAGTCCATTCTTTGATGTTATCAGATCGGAGTACTTTAAGAGTATACCACAAGGGGTTAGAATGACCTACCACGTGAGTAGTGCTTGTAGTACCCTTATAAACACGGAACAGTACGGTACTTCAAAAGGTGGGGCTTCCCAAATAAACAACGTTCGTGGCTATTTGGCGAGTGCTCTGGTGTGGCTAGCTTCTTCTTTTATATCACATCACACATCTATCGTCCGTATCTCCCCTCCTTTATTTTTTATTCTATTCTCTAGTAACATCTCAAATCCAGAGGGGTTAAAAGACGTATTTGAGTAGCAAATGCCGTAAAACTCTTACTAAAACTAAAACTAAACAAAGTCCATCCCAAAAGCGAATAGCCCAGAGTGGGTTGGGAGATGTGAAAACAACCCCCTAAACTACCCTATTTCATTGCACTGTTTCGGAGAAGCCTACTCAATTATTTTTTAATGGAGCCATAACTCCCGCTATTCCAGCAGATTTTTCAATAGGTATCTCTTTCGAAAACTTTAAAAAGGCTGACAATACATGCATACTATGAAATATGAACAGCGGATGATTGGTTTGTGCCCTGGTGTGGTTTGCTCATTCTTTCCTATCATTCCTATCAGGGGCGGCTCGTGGGTCTAAAAAGTGGGCGTGCACAGTTAAGCTAT